TCTTATGGGAGACAAAAGCACAATATCATCAACGTAGGCTAGTACGTTCACTGCACATTTCCTCACATGACAACCAATCAGTAGCATTTGCAAATCACAAAGAGGTTCATCTGTGTACACATTGGAACAGCAGTGGTGAGAGGTTCCCTCCTTGACGCACACTGCTCTGTAGAGAGAAAGGGTCGAACACTGCCTGACCACTAAACTCCCATCTTTTGGGTTCTGTTCCACCTTAGAAGAAGCTTAAGATATGCGGAAGGAAGAGTACGACCTGAGAGGATATAGAAGAGCTAAGAATGACATGCTCTATCAAAGGCTTTGCTGGCATCTAAAAATATGCCTGGGCAGGACTACTGCTTTTGGTGTAAGAGTTAACAGTTTCATTGAGGTCATACGCTGTATGAGTGGTCGAGTGTCCAGCCTTGAAACCAAACTGGCAGCTACCTGTTTTTCGAAATGGCGTGTATCGTATAGCTAGAAGGTTTTATGATAAATTATAACTTCTTATTTTCTACTTTTTCGGCAAACTAATAGCTTTTTCACTGGCGTTTATTACCCACATACCAAGTTAGTAATATGTCAATTTGTGGATGATAGACACAAGTGCGATAGTTTTGGATGCAGAACATACGCTAATTCCTGTTGCGCAGTCAGCGATATCCTCCAAAAGCCCTGCGCGCTTTTAAAGCCCGCGCCCTGCGGGCCGGCGGGCTCAGAAATGCCAGCAGCAGTGAGAGACCCCAGATCACACCAGCCGCGTAACAATGATTCCATGAGAAGGGTCAATGTGCCTCTGGCAGGGCATGCCGCTAACGTGCTGGATGGCGGGACCTGGAACGCCGAGCGGCTGCTATTCCAGGTGGCCGTCCTTGCACCTCCCAAAAGGGGGACCAGACAGGCGACGACAGAGAGGTGGCTAAGTTGGCATGTCGTCTGGTGTCACGTTGGCGACGCGCAAAATCGCGTGGGAGGTCGCTCGTCGCGCTGCTTGACGAGGACATTTGATAGTCGACCATCGGCGGACATAAGGTCTGGGCGCAGTTTGGTTAAATGCACTGATGCAAGTACTGACGCCGACGCCTTTTGATGCTATGGTAACTCAGCGTTTCGGAAAAGACACGCATCAAGCTGCGAGACATCGCAAATCCGTTTCAGCGGCAGTCAGCCACGAACGGACTGTTCAGGGCAGGGTCACAGTTTATCGGCAGCGGTATGGACCTTCTCATGTCCTGCCAGCCCGGTGTGTTCGGACACCAAAGCAAGACTCACGTGCTCTCCAGCCCGCCCAAGAGGAAGATTCGTTTCGCTGAGGGATGATCAATTTTCAGATTTTGGATGGCTTACATGAAGCTCAGCTAGGCCGACAGCATTAAACAACATTCAGCTGACCAAACCCTTGCGTAAACACCACCATTACATCTTTGCTAGCATCATTAACAGAAAGAAGAATTGTTATTCCCATGATGTTGGGCTAGCAGCATGCTACTTAAATCTCCCCCCCCCCCCCACGGGCTGCCACGAGTTCATGTTAAGGTTCAAGTAGGGAAAGGGCGTTCTTCCTTCCAGATCGCATTCAAAGCCTATTTGAAGCATGGCGTCTCCGTTTAAATTGCGTCCGGCGTCAGCGTTCGCCCCAAACAGGAACGAGTCGACGATATTCGCTTGTTAAAAATGCAGGGCCTACCGCGTGCCAGGAACTTCACAGATCCCGCGTTTAGCACCAGCACCGGCACCACGTTTAGCTGCATCTTTAAGAGCCCCAGCTTATTCAGGGTGATTTAACCCTGTAATCACCACCATGCACTGTGCTGCGAGTGGCCATTTATGGCCACTTGCAGCGCAGTGGTGCGCATTTGTGACTGCAATCAACGGTACTTGCATCCGGGGTGAGTCAGGGCACGCCAGCTGTGAGTATTCTGGCTAGACAGTTCATACGTACCCTGTCAAGAGGCTACGTATTGGTCCCCCCATTCACATTTCCATTCAAACAAAGGCCCCATGATTTTGCTAAATTCATGCCAATAGATATATTATATTCATACCTTTACGTGGTGATTACGTTGATGCTCTTTGTTTCCTGTCACATTCCAAACAATGGCGGTCAGAGGTGCTCATGGTTGTTAAACTCGGATCACTACGATTCTTCTCAAACTGATATTGCATGAAAGTGTTTGACATGTTGATTAATGTGATGCGTCTGATTTCGAGACACAGTCAAAACTATTACCACCAGATGTCTCCAAAGTAAACAGCCATTGATCCCGGAGCCCCACGATTTAACTCCAATTCATACCTATACTGGTGTTAAAAAATGCTGAATGCAATGGTACATCTCGTTTTGCGCCAGAGTCCAAACTATAGCCGTCAGTGGTCTACGGATTTCAAGGCCGCTGACCTCGGGTCTCTCAACGATTACGATTTGTATCAAACTGAGACCACTGGTATCATGTTTGACGTGCTGATTACAATAGTGCATCTCTTTTTCCGACATATCCAAAACTATGACAACCGAGCATCTAAAGTTGAAGGTTACTGGACCTGGAACCCTACAACGCATCCAAACCTAGTAAAAGTGGTAGAGTTTGGAAAGTTGCTTAACATGGTGCACCTTGTTACGACACATTATAAATGATGGCCTCAAGAAGCTTCCGAAGGATATGGTCTAAGTCCCGACCCTCGAATCCCTCTGCGCTTTAAGCATAATTTGTTTTACACCACTCGCTTTTTGTGCTAGATGCCACAAGAAGTAGGACGTTTTTCCTAGTTGTTACGAAAATAGCACCTGTAATCGACTTTCTTACGAAAGCACCATAACCGAGTATGTCAATGCAAGAAAACATTAAACTCACGTATGAATATGCAAGAATGCCATGACGAAGGGCCAAACACGAGCACGTAACGATATGTGGTTCAGCAAACACTGCCAGCACCGCCACGGCAATCTATGGGGATTGAGATATTACAAGTAAGCGCTTGGAGGCAAAGTCGCTTAGTCAATTTGCCAGCACATGTAACGTCATGCAAACGTTTCATGACGCAGCCAAACAATGACGCATCGAGGGGGATATTTACTAAATACGTAAATCGTGCTGTTCTGACAGCTCTTTCCAACTTGAAAGCATACCAATATTCGTACGTGAGCCTGTTATCATATATAATGCTTGTTCAATGTCTTCAGATGTGAAACGCTTCCTTGCACTGGGCGCCTTTTTTGCTATTAGTTTAATTGTACTGAGGTCTACTGACTCCGAATAAAATGTGATACATTGATACCTGTCTCTACCTTTGTGATTGTGTTTGCATGACAGAGAAATACTAGCAAACTGAAAGTAACGCTAGCACTTACGTTGCAGGCGTGTAAAAGGCAAGCTGGTACTTCATTGTGATCTTGCCAAATTTTGGACCTACTGAGGTATTGCAGCCTGTACTTTGTCCATTGCATGTCTTATCAGCGGTTCATTTCGGCACTAGGGGCTGGTGTGTGCAGCTCATTAACACGCGCT